TCCAAATTTCTTCGATTCCTTGACTAGATGACTAGACTATCCGAATCTCCGATGATGGATGGATGGATTAATTGTTCTTTGGAACCTGAAAATAAATCGAGTCCGTGGAAGACACCCGGATTAGAAACTGCAAGGGAAGATCCGAACTGAAAGTCAGATGCGGCCACGGATCCCAAGACTTTTAAGATTGATGTTCCGTCACTTAGAGATCTTCATCATTTTCCGTCGAGGCTGGGGGTCCCTGGACCCGAAGACTGGGCGGGGGGGGGGGGGGGGGAAATAGGATGGCCCATCGTTGGTGCCTTCCGTGCAGGAAGTTCTCCATCCCGGCTGTCCCGTGAATTCGAACGCTTGCGGATACTTCTGATGTACTATGCATACTGCACCTACTCACTGTGCTGTAAAGATGGCCATCATCCTTCAACAAATCACAACAAACAGTCTGCATTATTGGCTTTTCTTTTGGTTTGATCCTTGAATTTCTAGAAGCAGGTTCACCGTCTCGAGCAGAATCCCTCCTTAAATGTTCTGACCAACAACCGACTAGGGATTGTGGCTAATTACGGACCAACACTTGTCGTTGCGTCGAGCAAGGCTACTGGTTGTTTAATTTGAAGTTTCCGTGATGATAATATCCACATACGTCAAGATATTACGGAATCTGACTCCTCTTTTTCAGAGTTGATTCTGTGTACTTTCAGTTGACCTTCTTAGAGATTTGATTCGGTCGTCCATGATCGCTGTTACGTGTCTTTCGTATCGCCTGCTCACTGCTCAGGTAGCTGCCACCTCTTATATGCGTCGAAAGGCAGGCAGAAATAATGGAGCGGGATCCGCGACACTGATGGTCAATGTGCGTTGCGGCGGGTCACCAGGCCGCAGGGAAATTGGCCACTACCTGTTTCGGTCGAATATTTCGCAGGTGCGGGCGAGGTAAGAGCGTAACTGACAAACTGTTGTGGTTATTCGTTGTATTCATCGTCTATCTGGAGAAAGTGGCTCCACTGTTAGGATGATCGCTTGAAACCGTGCCTGACTAACTACTCGGCCGCCCCTCTTTGCAAAAGGTCTTCATTTATCTCGCTTACTAATCGGGCTGCCCCTAATGAGCTAACGAAACAACTACTCGGACGAGTAACTACACCTACATTTTATAACTTGCGAAGGAGTCGAGTTCTGCTTACGCGTGAATCATCATCGGCTTTCCGCCTTATGATAAGGTGACCCGTGAATCATGTCGAATCTTCCAGATTTGACAGCTTCTTCCCAGCAAGTCGAGGTGTGGCGCGGAGTTATCGGATATGCACTTATCTGCTGCAATCGCCCCCACTCTCGAGTACTGTACCTTATAAACATTACAAATCTATAGCACAAGAGAGTACTAGCCACCGAGTCTTCAGCCTCTGAACTTGGAACTGTTTCCTTTTCCATCAAGATGCATTGGTGTTGAGCCAACGAATGCATCCCTCCCCATTGGCAGGTCAAGGGATACTGTCTGCTCGGATACCCAGGGATCATTTGGATAAATGCACGTCAGCCTCAGGAAGCCTCGAGTACGAGGCACGATTGGCGCGATTCAATTATCGGGTAGGGTGCATATCATTTTGAATCAGAGCTGCGGCTTCGAGCCACATCTACCATCATCATTGCCTAGACCCGGCTTCCAGCGGTGGAAGGATTCACGCCCTGCCGAGATTGACAGCTCAGTATTGGCTCTCATACGATCATTTGCATCTCCGTGCTTAATAGATCTACATGCGATGGTGTCTGAGCTGCAACCTCCAGGGTGTGTGTGTGTGCAGAGCAGATGATTACAGAATATCCGCGATCATTAGCCTTCTCTTTTTTTAATAGCTTCCGTCTGTTCGCTTCATCCCAGCCTCCAGGGTTCCAGGTTTTGTGTGCATTAGGCATATGTACGTACATATCCTGAAGTGTCGCTCCTCCTTATCCGCGCGCGGTGCGATAATTTTGACCTACGTCAGCCGAGTCAGAGGACTTGCCGCCCGCGCCTCACGTTCTCGACACTTCCACAGAGAGTATGCGAATCTCACGATCACGTTGCGTCCCAAGTATCTCCAAGCCGCGCCACGAATAATAACCCCGTGTCAAGGACGTCGAATCTAAGACCGTCATCCTGAAACATATGCATAGAGGCGAGAATATCCTTCCAGAAACGCCTTCGCGCTTAAATATGCTATATATAGCCCTGAATGAAGCCCATCTCGAGGTGACATCGATCAAACTTGAAACGAGGAAGCAAACCCTATCATCACCCCAAGGCGGGACGAGGGTCCGGGTGCATGGATCAAATCAAACTCGACGAAGCGCGTAATGCAATGTGAGTGTATCTGGGAACCTCATCCCCCCGACCGCGATGGCGGTTAAGCCAAGCCACCTAGGGTTTTTTGGTCAAGGTGATCGGGTTTGACGGCAGCGGTTCGCGCCTCTAGAGGCAAAAGAAGGCAGCGCCGCCGCCCAGCGGGATGACGGGAAGGGGAGAGGGGGAACGGAGTTTCTAATCATAGAACTACCTAGTTCACTAATGAGGAAGTAGATTACTAGACTGCAGACTACAAGTACAGTACATGATTACTTTTTTACTTGTACTTTGTAGAACTGCGACGTCCGTGCGGATTGGTTTGGCAGCTGATTGAGGGGTAACACTGGGATCACGGGTAGAGTGACCCTTGTCTAGACATATCTTTACCTCATGATAGGGTGGTTGAGATTGAGTAGGTGTGCTAAGGACTGCACCTAGAGCTGATCCGATTTAAGTTGTTGTTGGTGTTGTGGATTTCGGCAGGGTGAGGAGTTTAACCTACTGGTACGGTGCAACACCTGTGAATGGAGACCGAGCTCGGAAAAAGATGTCGTTTCGGGGATCTTTTGTATATAGTCATCTATGTCGAGGTGAGAGGATGGTGTTAGGGTTGGCTGGACATGCAGATCTAAATATAGCGTGCATGTGGGAGTTAATGCAGAGTAGATGAGGGTCCCATCGCGGTTCATTGTCCATTCCATCATGGGGAGGTATGAAGCGTGTTCAGATCGGGTCGTCCGTCAGCGTCAAGGAGAAATAGGGTGGTGGTGGTGAAACTTGAGCTGAAGATTGGTGAATTCAGGGACTGAGAGAGGACCTATGCCTATGATCGGGAAAAGGCAACGGATATGACATGTCCATGTCCATGTCAACATGTCTGCTCTATACTCAATATACGTACGATCGGAGATCCATAGTTCTGTCTGCCTGTCTGGTACGGAGTACCCTGATAGTTTAACGTAAGTAAACTACCGGTAGGTCGACAAGTGATCTCCGGGTCCTCCCCCCATATCGAGGCTCAAGCCCCTCTTCCCCTCTCCTTCCTTTCCCCCCTTATGTATACATTGTAGACTACGGAGTCCTGAATGTTGTTGAAAACCAGGGGGCATATTTCGCAGGGCCGTGGGATGACTACTCCTAGAGCAAAGAAGAAAGAAAGCAGGGAACCAAAAGAAAGAAAACAGAAGGGAACCAGCATCATGATCAAACCACTATCTAGGAACTATTGCGCCCTGCTAGTCATTTCCCATCCGAAGCAGTAGTCAAGTCCGATGGTGGGTGCGCCAGATGATCTTTGCTCTTAGATCTGCGGCGGACTCCGCTTGTTCAGGGAAATGAGGACTCTTTGAACATTCCATCCCCAATGCCTGCGTCAGGAGGAAAGGGACGGCAGGGCGGGCAACCTGGAACCGGGGCAAGCCAGAGTAATTAAAGCCATTCATAAAGGAATTGTTCAAGAGGAAGCAAAGAGATCTTCAGTCTTCGTCTTTATTATGATACTCGTAATGTAGATATTGAGAGGGGAGGGGAGCGGTCCGTGTTGTTGTTATTGTCGGAGCCTGCCAGTGGCAAAAGAAAGAGAAGATCGATCGATGGATTTCTTCTTATTATTAAGAGTAAGAGTGTGTTACTCGCCCGAAATAAAGTACCGGAGTCGGCTGAAGGAAACTCGTACTTAGTACTATCCATCATCCAGTGGAACAGTATCGGAAGGTTTTAACAATAAGATCATAATAAAGAAGGAGAAGAAGTCGAACCGACTCGACTTGTTGATAATCGGATTAGGTAGCAGCATCCGTTGGAGAGAAAAGCAGAGGCAAAGAAAGGGTGGCGGGCCAAAAAGCCTGAAGACGAAACCGCCTGACTCTCTCCTCTCTCTCTTCCTCTCACTCACTCTCTCCGCTTTCGCTTTTCAAGTCCCTTCGCTCGCGCTCTCTCACTTACTCAATCACTCCTCCTCCTCCTCCTCCTCCTCCTCCTCCTCCTCATCCTCCTCCTCCTCTTCTGCTCGACTCCTCCTTTTGGAATCCCTTCTACTCCCTCAAACAATTTCCCACCCACACCCCCCAAATTCTTCTTTCTTCCTCCTCATTTCATACTCATACCCTCCTCTCCTCCCTCTCGCCTCCTCCCCGTCGCCGCTCGTCTCCATTAACAAGAAGTCCCTCTCAACATTTCCCGTGCCTGTGTCGCTTCAAACAGACCTCCATACCAATACTCCCCACCCACCCACCCACCCACCCAACACCCGATACCCCCTTTCATCCTGTTGGGCATAGGTTGTCTCTCCTTCCACCCGGAAAATCTTTAAGCATCACCTGGGTCCTCACCACACCTTTCCTTCGTTCCCGTGAATCATCGTGGCCGTCAGACTCTGACCCACGGTCTTGGCTTCGAACGCAACTACCCTCTTACGACGCTTTGCCATCAATCGCTCTACGATCCTTTCTCCTATCTCGTCTCTCGTCACCTGTCGTTCGAGCGTCTTCGTCGGCCCCCTGCAGTACATCATCATTCACCATAATCTCATTCATGACTACGTTTTAATCCCATCGACTCCAAGCAATCCATCGCATCTCATCGTCGGGCCGTGGACAAAACGCCCTAATTTGAATTCTCATCCGATTTTCGTCTCGACTGACCGATAGTCACATCCCGCTTCACCCTCTCGCCCATCATGCGGGAGGTCAATTTCAGCATCCCGAATGTCAATAAGGCCTCCGTCAACATTACGACCACGCTCTACGATCGGCGTGCTCTCGATTGTACATCCACCCTCCCGCTTGTCAACTCACTCAACCATCTAGCTTACCTCACAACTTCATCCGCCCGCATTCGCGACATCCTCACCATCGATGGCGGTGTTGAACGCCTGGTAGGCATCCTCAAGGAGGGCCGCACCAAGGATCTGATGGATTGTTGGAAGTGGAGCCTCGCTTTTCAATGTGTTGTTAACATCGGAGTGAGAGGCTCGGAGACTGTGCGAACCCGAGTGGTCGAGGCCGATATCGTACCAGTGGTCGCGACCGTGCTAGACAACTATATCAAGATGATCGAGAAGGCTCGCGCCCGAGTTGAGAACGAGAGTAGTCGGCACTCGTCCAGAAATCCCCTCAAGGCTATCCACGGGCCCACCGCCAGTCTTCCCACTCGTCCGCTCTACGTCGACCAGTCTACAAACACCGAACACCGTCCATCCCGTCGCCAGGCGCCGCCTCCTCACATCGAAATCCCTCCTCACTACCAGGCGAACAATACAGATACGAATGCTATGGACATAGCGTCTTCCCCTCGTGCGCCCATGGCCACTCTTCCAGAGCGACGCAGCCTCGCGATCGAGGATAACCCTCGCCATGCTCATAATGCTCACCGCCACCTTGTGATGCAGCCTCTGTCCACCGCGGCGGCTATGGACACTGCCGACGGCTTTGGCTTGCGCCCGGTGCGTGACGCCGAGAGACTTCCTAGCATGCTTCCAGGCCTACAGAACGGGCTAATCTCTCAGCCTAACTCCCCTACCACCCCCAGTGGTCCTTCGCAGTTGCGAAGCCATATTCACCCGCACGGGCTACGGTCACGTCCCACTCTGTTGCAGCAACAATCAGCTTCGGGTGATTCCGACATTGCCAATGGTGAGGAATCCACCGTCGGCTCCACCGTCGGCTCTGGACATAGTTCCGCGATGGGTGACGAAGTGGGAAGCGAGATTACCGACCCGATGATCGGCATGGAGAACCGGATGGAGATAGATGATGTTGGCGATAGACAATCCGTGCTGGGGGAAGTCTCGAATGCCCATGATTTGACCGTCAACGACTCGTCGGAAGGACAAGAAGTCGACACATTCAATATCGCCCATCGGTCGGCTGTTGATCGGAGCATGATCGAGAATAATGAGGCGCAGACGAATGGCCCCTCGGCGTTATCACCTACCCAGGCTCCTGAAAATGCCAACTCGCCTGTTACTGTCCCGACTCCCTATTCGTCATACATCCGCGATCGTCTCACTCACCAGACTACGACGACGACTATGCCCCGCGACGATGATGTCTTGATGGCTCTTCAGCTCCTAGCATATGTCTCCAAGTATTGCAGTCTCCGTTCTTACTTTCACAACACCCACTTCGTCCCCAAGCTTCGGGTCGATCGTGAGCTGAAGGTTCTCGATGGCGGGCTGTCTCCCGTTGAACCTCTCGATGATGAGGACGAGGAGTATCTGCAGCCGGACGATGTCAACATCTTCCCTCTGGTGGAGCACTTCACCATCCGTCATCACTCGAAGGATATGCAATATTGGGCCTGCGTGGTCATGAGGAATCTCTGCCGCAAGGATGAGGCCCAGGGTGGCATCCGGCAATGCGCCTACTGGAAATGCGGCAAGTGGGAAGAATATCAGCGGCAGTTTGCCAAATGTCGCCGCTGCCGTCGCACCAAGTACTGCAGCAAAGACTGTCAGAAGGCGGCCTGGATCAGTCATCGTCATTGGTGTCACACCAACCCTTGATCTGAACGGATGAAACTTGCCTAATACACATAATGCATATCGGCTTGCATAGCGTCGTATCTGTCATCTGGTCCCGTTTGTCTTTTCTTCGGTTCGTTTCCCAAGGTTTCACGTCTCCCTCTCGTGCATGGCATTCCCGAATCCGGTGGCGTTCCTCTTCCAGTCTAAAGATACCTCTGTTTCTTCCTTTCAACATGTTTCATTAAAGCCAGGCCCAGTGTCTGGACCTCAGTCATATGGAATTTCTTCAGCGGTTATGAAAGTCTTCTTAATTGTGTGAGTGGGGTTTCCTTGTGTTTCTCTTTCTGTTTTCTTTGAATCATATCTGAGCAGCTAGCCCGCTACTGTCTCGATGCCAGACGATTTTCATTTGTGAGTAGCCTTTATTTTATTCTATCTAGCATTGTGATCCATGTCCACTGTTGTTTGCTTTGGAGCGTTTGTCTCGCCGTTGACGCTCCGTGATTTTGCTATTCCTCTCATTGATGGTCCTGGTATAGGGCTTTGGGTGCGGCGACCATCGATGCAGCCTTGGAATTTTATTGTTGTGGTTTTGTGGGTCCCACCCCGAGCAGTGATAGTTCTATCTCTCATGGCATTTCCTTGAGTATGGTTTCCTTTGGACAAGGAAATTGGAGGAACTTCTGTGCATCCGATCCACTCTTTGTGTCTGGCAATTGGCCGTAAAACCCCTAGCTATCCGGCTGAGGATTTCCTTGTGACTGTTTGATTTGCCGTTGGTCTGGTCTGGTTCCGCTGTGACTTAGCACACAAGAGAAGATGAACCATTTTAAGATAGTAATCCAGCATCTGTTCCCATCCCATAAAGTCTGGTCTATAAACTTAAATGGTGGACCTGAGTTATCGTCATCCTGACTGAACTTTTCTGACCCAACCTTTACCCTTCCTTCCATCCCATCTCTCAACCAATTCGTCCAGTTTACTCCGTCCCCTCAAACTGATACGTCGCCCCCAACCGCGCCATCAGATGCTCATGCGCCGTCAACGCCCTGCGTCCAGGCTCCAACGCCCCAGCCCCGCCCCCAAACCCGATCTTCTCGTCGGTCGTCCCCTTCCTCCCCTCGCGGTACCGCCGCACCGTCTCACTAGGCACGGGCACCAACTCCGTCTGATCGATGGGATGGCAGAAGAACACGACGCTGTACCGGTCCCGCGGGGTTCGGGCGTGCTGCTCCGCGAGCGGGAACACCACCCGGTGGACGGTGGACTTGAGCAGTCCGTCGGTCCAGTAGCTGAGGAGGTCGCCGATGTTGATGAGGATCGGGGGGAAGATGAATCCTTCTTCTTCTTTTTCTGCGTCGTTGTTTTGGGTGGTGCTGGTGGTGGTGGTACTGGTGGTGCTGTTTTTGGGAATCGTGCTGTTGGGGAGCACCGGCACCGGCGCCCAGGTTTGCTCGGGCGTCAGGATCTCCAGCCCCGGCTGCCCCGGCCGCTGGAAGAGGAGCGTGATGCTGCCGTAGTCGGAGTGGGCGCCGGCGCGCACGTCGACCTGGTGGTTGTAGGTGCTTGTGGCCGGGGAGGTGAGGGACGGGTAGTAGAGGTAGCGCAGGATGCTGCCGGTTGGGCCGCGGGTGGGGTCGTGGCGGGTCGTGAAGAAGTCTTTGGGGATCTGGGGGATTGAGTCGTTGGTTTAGTTGTGTTGGTTGGGTGTTTGTTTGGGGTTGGGGTGGGTTGAGGTGCGTTAAGGATGGGTGGGTGGTGTGCTGGTGGTGGTGGTGGTGGTGGTGGTGTGCTTTCCCATGGACTATCCCCCACCCTTTCCCTAGTACCCCAAAGCACAATACAGTTCAGGAATTGCAAGCAAAAGGAAAACTTACACCAAGCCCCAAGGCCAGAAGGGTCAGCACCCTGGCGCAGGTCTTCTGGCACAGGTCGGCGAAATGCGCGATCTCGGCTTCGTGCGGTGCTAGGGCTGGCGGGAGCGGTTGCTGGGCTTTGTGGTTGATGAATTCGCCGAAGTTGAAGGCTCTGTGCGCTGGTTGGTGCTGTTGCTTTGCGGAGGGTCAAGAGGGGGTAGGGGCTTGCTTAAGTACTCTTTGAAATCGCCTGTCTGAGGTGGTGGGGTGGTTGGTTAGTTGCCCTGGGATGTTGATATAGGTAGAGGTATAGATCTCACCCGCTGGTGTTCGGGGTCCAGGGTCTCCACGTGCATTCCGGACCAGCCCCGGTTCTGGGGGATGTCATTAATAGTGTTCTTATTTGTGCTTAAGTGGTTGAGGGACGGACGTTGGGTTCAATGCGACAGGTCGCTTTTTCTTCGGCCGGGGATTTGAAGAAGGTTTGCGACTTGGGGTTTGGTTTCTGGTTAGATTCATCGAGAAAGCAGGCAATGCGGTGGGAGATGCATTGACGAAGAAGGGCTTGACTTACCAGTTCAAATGCTCGCTTCACGTCCGCCGGGGTAAAGTCGGTGCCCTTGCTGTCGACGTACAGAAACCCGTAGGTGGTGGCTGCATCCAGCATCGCCTTCCCCGCCTTAGGGTCCAGCGGGTTGGAGATGTCGAGGACGGGCAGCTCGATCGGCGCCCCGACGGAGGTGGTGTCTGTCATGGTGAATGGAAGAAGTGGTTGAAGGGGTGAAGGCGAAGATTCCAGAGATTCGAGTCAGCTGAAAGTGCAGTGGGCTGGCAGCTTTGGGGGGGGGGGGGGGGCAGTATCAAGATTTATAGTATGCTTAAACTTATCGGGAGCTCTCGCTATCTATCAAATGCCGCGGTCGGCTCGATATGGGGAAACGGGCTCGGTTCCAGCAATAGGTCAGCCTACCAAGTGGGTTTCCTGGGTTTCCATATCGGCTGTCGCTGGAGGTGACCGCGTTTCCATTTCTAATTGGTATTATTCTATGGGTGGTTGGCGTGAGGCTTCCATCTCAGTCCATTGTTAGGATGTGCATTCTGATAAGAGTATACAGTGTCGGTTCATGCATCTACTGTGCTTAATAGTGACTACTGCTTAGCTGACCAGCGACCACCTTTACCATCCCACCTCCGAAGCTTCCACATGGAAAATAAATACAGAACAATCATCAGTCCTCCTTATCTTCCTTTACCATCTCACCCAATGCAACTGGTCGAGTGTCCACCAACCCCCATTTGAGATTCGATCGAATCAAATCCACCGCCGCGCCGCTCGCTCGGCTACGGTGTTTCCACCCTTCGTTTGGAGAAATGGAGTCATCGAGATATCCAGACAATGTCTGGTTCGTCTGCTATCCTTCAGTGCTTGGCACGTTGGATTGATTGGATAGGTTTTGTCGTGGCTGTGGAATGGCCCCGACAGCTTTTATGGCTTGATGTTTATATAGGGCATGGGTATTCATGAGGTCTGTCCCTTTTCAACAACGTATATAGAGCAATGGAGAGCTCGATCGAATCAATAGCCCTAATAGGAGGTTTGTTGTCATCTTGCTCTCAACTAACTCATGCTAGATGATATGGAGAAAGGCTGAGGGAACGTAGTACCGTGTGTATTTGCATTGTATTGTACTTGACTAGAAGGTCTATGCTCAGCAGACTGTGAGGACCTGAAGCTTCTTGACTACAGAATATACAACTCTACGCATGTTCCACTTCATATTTTGTAGGTGGTCCTGTATCACAGGAAATATTAATATGTACACCAACAAATAGCATAGGCAATGAGAGGTCAACATCGATCTCAATGAGTTTGACTCTAATTGCAACCATCTCTCCCATCTCCATAACTCCCCCGCACAAATTATCACTGTCAGTTTCGTTCCATCTGGTGATAGACCAGTTGGCGGCCGTCAACACCGCCCTCGTGATTGTCCCGCCCGAAACACACCCTCCGCCTTCGACATCCGATTGTCGCATCATCTCTCCAACAACTGTCTTTCTGACCCTCAGATTCCCCTCCTCCCTCTCCCTTCTCCCCTCCTTCCACCTGGGTCCTAATCCTCTCTGATAGCTCTGTCTACGGCCCTATATCATTCTCACACTCCCCCCTCCTGCTCCTCTGGAACTCTCCATGCCTGATATCGGTTCCCGCGTCTAAAGTCCGTGACAGAGCTCCCGCTTTCACCATGCCGAGTGAGTCCCTACCTGTAGCTCACACCGAGCTGCCTGCTCCCCTTCTCACTGAGCTAATGTGTATTCATGGTCCATAACAGTCCGCCCGTTGGATGAATGGGCCTCCACCCGCACCCAGTCACTCCCTCTTGCTGCTCTGAAAGGGGCCGTCGTCGGTATCGATGCGTCGCACTACATTTCCCAGCACCTCGTTCACCCCTCCTCCCGCGAGCCCCTCTTGGTCGCACTGGGCGGATTCCCGTTCGCGTTGAAGAACAACATCGAGAAGGAGCTCCAGGTCTTCAAGGATCTGGGCATCGCCTGCGTCTTCGTGTTCAATGGCCTCGACTTCGGCAAAAAGGACCAACGGCCCCAGGCACAGCAGGAAGCCGTCCGGGCATTCGAGCAAGCTTGGGACCTCTACGATCAGCAGCAGGCCGACCAAGTGGTGGACGCCTTCAGCAGCGCCGGTATGCAGTCATGCATTGACTGGTTTTTGGATAACACATGCGCTGACTCCCGTCTGTTTGGCCAAGGCACCCCCCGCCCGGATTCCCTCTACCGCTTCTTGCAGCGCATTCTGCACCAGAACGGCGTCGATTACATCGTGGCCCCCTACAGTGCTGCCGCTCAGGTAAGAATCAACATGCTACGAATCTGAAGTGTATCATCTCACACTCCGCTCCGTCTCGCATAGCTCGCCTACCTGACCAAAGGCCCGAACCCCCTCATCGATGCGGTCTGCGGCTCCTCCGAAACCTTCTTGTTCGACGTCGACAAGCTGATCACGCGGATTGATATCGATCCCGCACAATTCTTCTGGATCAACAAACAGACCTGCCAAGAGCAGCTGGGTGGGTTGTCGAATGAACAGTTCCTCGATTTCTGCCTGGTGCTGGGATCCACCTTCCTCCCGACCTTCCCTATCTTCGAGAATCCCCTCAACCCCGGTAAGGGCGCGATCGTCCGTGATGCCGTCCCTATGTTCAATATCGCCGGGCGTAGCGCCCTCACCCTCTGCGCCCAATTCGAGGAGGACCGCCGCATGCAGGAGCTCCAGTATACGGATCGCTACAAGCGCGCTCTCATGACAGTGAAGCACCACGTTTACATCGATGTCGACGGACGAGTGGGGCCAATGGACCCGGAGAATGTTTCATCAGATATGCACGAGCTGATCGGCCTACGTCTGCCAGAAGAGCTTTACTTCTACCTGTCCAAGGGTGTTCTGGGTCCTGACGTGCCCAATTACCTGACGTCGGGTGAAGTATCCGTCTCCCTGCCGCTGGGGGTGGAGGATACCGAAATCTATCGCCAAGTTGCTGGTAGCACGCTCACACCGGTCCGGACTCAAGCGATGTGCTTGTTGTCGCATTCTCTCCATCGATTCTACCAGACCAAGGATATTACCGTGCGCACCTGGTACGATGAGAACTCACAGTCTGAGATTAACCTCAAAACACTTCCTTCCGTCAAGGACACCATCCAGGCCTGGAAGACCCGCACCGAACAGCTCCCGGAGGACTTGAAGAAGTTGCAGGTAGGTGCTTTCATTGCTAGATGACATCCGGATACTTACTCATTGATATGTAGGCATCGACTGGTCGTTTCAAATTCGCGGTCCAGAGCTTGAAAAACTCCGATTTCAGTTCAAAGACGCAGTCTGCACGAGACGCACAAGTATGCTCCTTCCGTGGGTTTGTCAGAGTCATGTGAAATCTAATCGTCCACAGCTATTGACGACGCAAGACGAGATCCTCGCGAACGTATATTGGCGCTTCTTGCAACTCCGCGGTTATATTGATGAGAAACACCAGCTCACGCCATGGGGAGTATGCCTCGAGCAGGCGTTGTCTGGACTCGACCCTGTCGACTCGCTCGAGGAGGCTACATTCCTTGCCATCGAAATGATCCGCTTCGGCCTTTTGAATTCTAAGCAGTGGTTCTCTCATGTCTCCGGTGGACCCATGAGGGGATCTGGTAAGAGAACCTCTGCCACAGAGCTGGAGTCATGACTGACTCAATCCTATAGATGAGGACAAGAGCTTCAACATGCTCGTATCGCGCGTGGCATGTATCGCCAAGTTACAACACAAGAGCATTGGCTATTCGGGCCCCTTGAGTAGGCAGCTGCTCTGTTATCGCTCGTTGATCTCGGAGGTTCGCTCTACGCTACGGAACCTCATCGAGGTGGTCCTCGCTGGTCTCTTGCTCAGTGGGGACGCTGAGCGGGACCGTAAAGACTGGGGCGAGTTGAGCGCCAAGTGAGTGAATCGGGAGATCTCCTGTGGGATATTTCTGACATATGCAGGCTTCCATTCATTGACGACAACGACTGCGGACTTGGAATCGCTGTGCGCACCTACCTGGACGACCTGCCCCTGCAAGCCGATCCCACCTCGCCCGAGGCTCGGGCAGAGGTCAAGGCCAAGGGCAAGGAATGGTTCCAACATAGCGACAGTTTTACCGGCAATCTCGACATGGCATTCAAGCTCTGGGATGCGGTAGGTGACTCCGCCGAGACGCGTTGACTACATATTGATTGTCGTATAGGTCTACCGCGCATCGCAGAACGCAGGATGGGAGTTCAAGGACAGCAGCAAATGGGAAGAGGCAAACCGCTGGCTCGCCGCGCGACGGTGACGAACCACTGGAGATGCGACTGTTGCTCTATAAATACAGGCAGATCAATGATAGCAGCTAGTCCATGACCCAGCAACGAACGACATCACGATCAACCATCGAGCGCCAGTGGCCTGTAGCCAGACCCTTTGAGGTACCGAGGTACCGAACGGAGTCTACTCGACAGTCCAGCAACCGGCGTAGTATTTCAGTTTCATGTAGCTGCTGCCAATATGGCCATCTAGCGCGAACTATGAGGGAGGATATGGTGTGATGGGCTGGTGTTGTTGGCTGGGATCGGATGGGCCGGGATTGTGGCCGGTGGCGAAACTATGCTGAGCATTGCACTTCCGTAAAGCCGACCTCGCCCTAGCTCTGAGTAGGTGAATGATTAACAATCAAAGCTGATCATGCATGTTGAGTAGTTTACTCCGTCCTTCGTACTCATAAGCAAAGTGCGGCAAGTTTTGGGGAGCATTGCTTAGTGATAGGATTTGTAGTTTGTTAACAACTAACTTACCAAGTGTCCTCTTCCGGTTCCGACCCGCTTCAGCCTCCGCAGTCTTTCCGCCGCGGAAGCTTCCCCTACTTTATTACTTCATTACTTCATTACTTCATTGACAAAACTCCCCGGGTTCATCATCGGCAGTACGACCTGCCCACCATTTCCCCTCGTTGCTGAACATCCATCCTTCCCAACTACCACACACAGACAGACACACACACACACACAAAAGAAAAAGATGGTCCGCCTCAGCCATCTCGCCAGCTACCTGACCCTGGCCGCCGCGACCGCCAGCGCAGCGGTCGTCGACCTGGTGCCGCAGAACTTCGACGCGATCGTCCTGCAGTCCGGCAAGCCGGCGCTGGTCGAGTTCTTCGCCCCCTGGTGCGGTCACTGCAAGAACCTGGCCCCGACCTACGAGGAGCTCTCGCAGGCCTTCGCCCACGCCACCGACAAAGTGACCGTCGCCAAGGTGGACGCGGACGAGCACCGCGACCTGGGCCGGCGGTTCGGGGTGCAGGGCTTCCCGACGCTGAAGTGGTTCGACGGGAAGTCCGACGTGCCCGAGGACTACAAGGGCGGGCGCGATCTCGAGAGCCTGTCGGCGTTCATCGCCGAGAAGACCGGCGTCCGGCCCCGCGGGGGTGGTGCGGCGGCGGCCAAGGAGCCCAGTGCCGTGGTGATGCTGACGGATGAGAGCTTCGCGAAGGTGGTTGGTGGGGAGAAGGATGTTTTGGTCGCGTTTACGGCGCCTTGGTGTGGTCGTGAGTTTTCCCTTCGTTCTTTGCTTGTGAGGCGGGGGGGCTGTCGGGAGATTCGGATGATAAGATGATGATGATGCTAATGATGACCCACGATGGGGTGTCAAGACTGCAAGAGCCTGGCTCCCACCTGGGAGACGCTGGCCCACGACTTCGCGCGCGAGGCCAACGTGGTGATCGCCAAGGTCGACGCCGAGGGCGAGAACAGCAAGGCCACCGCCAAGGCCAACGGCGTGACGGGCTACCCGACCATCAAGTTCTTCCCGCGCGGGTCCACGGAGGCGACCGTCTACAACGGGGCGCGCTCCGAGCAGGCCTTTATCGACTTTTTGAACGAGCACGCCGGCACCCACCGCGCCGTCGGCGGCGGGCTCAACGCCCAGGCCGGCACCGTCGCCGCGCTCAACGAGCTCATCGTGGCCGGGGGCCCCGCCCTCAAGGACGAGATCAAGAAGGCCGCCGAGGGCCTCACCGACCAGTACGCCCCCTACTACGTCAAGGTCGCCGACAAGCTGAGCCAGAACGCCGGCTACGTCACCAAGGAGCTCGCCCGCCTGGAGAAGATCCTCGCCAAGGGCGGCTCTGCCCCGGAGAAGCTGGATGATCTGGTCTCGCGCAGCAACATCCTGCGCCAGTTTGTTCTGGATGATGCGCCGGAGGAGAAGGATGAGTTGTAGATATTTTGCACAGGATGGGGGACAAGGGGATGAGGGGCGAGGGCAGGGTGCTACGGCTGTGTCTTGGTCCCGTGCTTGTCTCGCCAGTAACTTATCAATCGGTCCTTGTATGATACCAGGGAAAATGAAGCAATTCTATGACGACGATAAGGGTTCTGATCTATATTAGCCCGCTTCCCCTCCCCCCCCCCCCCCCCCCCGGGGAAAATCTAGTGAGTGTGTGCTCAACAGTAGTACAATTGCAATGCAAGTAAAACAGGGGGTATCTCAACCAAGTAGACAGTAACCAAACCACACCACCTGACTGTGTATACAGTACAGTACACTCTCAACATCCTGCTCGCTCCCAGAGTCGAGTCCGAAAGAACCGACCAATTCACATCCCAACCCCAGAAAGAAACTCCATCAAAGCAATACCAATACCAAAACCAATGCCCCCGTAGTCCAAGGACCAAGCACCCACCCACCCTCCTTCCCTAACCCCCCTCTCTCTCCTGCTCAGAACCCCAAAGCCACAACCTTAGAAGACCTCACTTCCCCGGACTAGGACTCCCAGCCCCCGCCCCGTCCCCCGCCCCCGCCCCGGCACCGGCACCCCCACCAGCCCCAGGGGTGGTCCCAGGAGCACCCGCAGAAGAAGTATCCAACAACGCCAGCGAAGCCTCCAACTCATCCAACCGCCGCGCCATATCGTCTACTACATTCAGAGAAACAAAGAATTAGCATCGCATTGCATCGTAAACCCCAACGCCCCTCTACCCCTTCAAATGCAGGGTTAGAGCCCCAGGGCAGTCGTAGGAGCCGTAGAGCCGTAGGATCCGTAGAGCCCAGAGCCATAGGAACCGTGAGAGCCGTGAGTCCGTAGAACCCGTAGGCTCAAGTGATATAGGGAGAAAAGGGACGGGGGCAAACGCAACGCACACTTCCCAAAGATCTCGCGCGAGACGCCGTCGAATTTATGTTGAAGTTGTTCGAGGAGGTCGTCGACTGCGGCGTTGAGTTCGGATTGGGGTTCGGGGGCGGGGGTGGTGGTGGTGGTGGTGGCTGTTGTTGGTTGGTTTGGGGTGGGTTGGGGAGGGGGTTGTTGGTCGGGGGGGAGCTTTGTGGGTTGGGGAGGGGGTTGTTGGTCGGGGGTGAGCTTTGGGG